GGGGCCAAGAGGCGGACCCGTCCCCTCCATCTGCCATTTTGGGCATACATTTTCTCTGGTTCTTCCTTGCCACATCACCAATGACTCCATTTTTCATTAAGTTATGACAGTTACCATGAGGTAGGGAGTTTCTGGTTGTTCTTATTCCACACTACACGTTGTCCAAAAGCTTCCACATATTAATGAGATTTTGCGTAATTGTTTTCTCTCACAGGTTCTGAGGCGGAACTTCAAACTCTTCAGGTCACCAACACTCTGTAGGAAGTATGGGGTGGAAGAGGGGGGAGGGGGAGAGAGGGAAAGAGGGCGGGGAGAATATCCATGATGCGAGAATCATTGATTGGCTGCCTCCAGCACGTCCCACACTGGGGATGGAGCCCAAAACCCAGGGCATGTGCCCTGACCAGGAATTGAACTGTGATCTCCTGGTTCATGGGGTGACGCTCAACCACTGAGCCAGGCCGGCCGGGTGTGATTTTTATTTTTAAGGTTACCAGAAGATACCCTCATGAGGAGGACAAAAGTATCAATTTCCCAACTGCTCAAAGATTAAGTCTTTGAAAAGTAGCAGTAACATATTCTTTGAACTGTGTCAAGGTCGCAGTTGTTGCTTAATTTATAATTTCAACCATAATAATAAGTGAATATTTTCTAGGTAGAAATGAAACAGAAATAGTACAGAAAATTGAATTTGCCTTGGTCGGCTATCTCAGTTGATTAAGAGTATTGTCCTGATATACCAAGACTGCAGGTTCCATTCCCAGATAGGGCACATATAAGACACAACCAATGAATGCATAAATAAGTGGAATAAAATGATATTTCTCTCAAAATCAACCAATGACATTTTAAAAAAGAAAGAAAATTGAATTTGTCCTAAGGAAGCTTATAATTTAGTCGGGTAGAGAAAAACAACACACAAAAACAACCAGAAAAAGCCCTAGCCGGTTTGGCTCACTGGATAGAGCGTCGGCCTGGGGACTGAAGGGTCCCAAGTTTGATTCCGGTAAAGGGCATGTACCTTGGTTGTAGGCACATCCCCAGTAGGGGGTGTGCAGGAGGCAGCTGATCGATGTTTCTCTCTCATCGATGCTTTTAACTCTCTATCCCTCTCCCTTCCTCTCTGTAAAAAATCAATAAAATATAAAAAACAACCAGAAAAGAATAAATTGCATAAAAGAGCCTATGGAACAGACATTTTCTTCAAATTTAGTATGAGGGGAAAAAACTGTGGGGTTTTGTTGTTTTTTGTTTTGTTTTTTAAGAAAAACAAGATGGTATGTGTCCTTTTGTCAAATCACAATTACAAAATTCAGATTTTTTTTTTGCCTAATTCTAGGAAACTAAAAGATAATCTTACTGCTCAACTATAGAACTATACTAGGTTATAGAATCATATCTTAAAATAAGCAATCTCAAATCCTTTAGGAAACAATAGAAAAATGTAGGTAATTTAAAGGAATAAAATACAAAATTAAGGTGCTATGTCAATAAAAAACTTAAATATTTGAAGTGGGGTCAGGTAAACAATGAACCCCAGAGGAAGTGAATTCTGAAGAGAGCTGATATCTTGAACTGAGAGCGGTGATAGGGTATTAGAATAAGGGAAACCCTATACTAAGGTATGTAAAAAGGAAGGGATAAAGCATTCGAGACTCATGGCTTCAGCTTAGTTTTCAGTATGCATTGTAACTTTTCAAAATATCAGATACACTTATTTTAGTTAAAAATTTATATAATATATGCCTATTACTAAAACACACGTAAGAAATAGAGGTCATCCACTTCCATCTTGTAAGAAGCATTGTTATGTTTATTTTGTATCCTCCACTGTGTGCTGTTGCTTTTTTGAAAATTAAAAACACAAATGACAGAGTACTATACTTTCAGTTTTGAACTGCTTTTTAAATTTAATATATAATAGATGCTCCTCGACTTACGATGGGGTTACATATGGATAAACCCATTCAAAGCTGAAAATATGTCGAAATGCATGTAATGCACCTAAACTACAAAATATCACAGCCTAGACCAGCCCGTTTCTGCTGACTGTGTAATGCTTCCCTACACTGAAGAAAGTGTAAAGCAAACCTGGGTAAGGCAAGGACCATTGTATCTTGATCTTTCTCTTTCAACAGAAAGGAGGTATGTATTTCAGAGGTCCAAGTACAACCTGCTTGAGCCTCAGACTGCTTGGATCTCAATACCAAGTCTGCCCCTTACTTGTGCAAGTTATTTAATTTCTGTGCCTCGTTTTCCTCATCTGCAAAATAATAATAGATGCTAATACCTGCCATAATAATAGTATACCTGCCATAAAGCTATTACAAAAATTATCAAATATGTCAAATGCATGGCAAAGTGCATATAATATGTACTTAATAAAGGGTAACGTCATTACCACTGTCGTGAATACAAACAGACCAACCTTGTTCTCAGTGACTGCAGTACTCCAGTCACTCTCCTATTGGGAAACACAGGACCAGCAGTACTCTGATAAGGACATTTGTCCATATGTGTTTGCCTACTTTGTGCAAGTTTATTTGGAGAGTAAATGCCCGGAAGTACAAAGGTTATGTGTATTTTCAATTTGACAGATATTGCTCAACTGCCCTTCTAAAATGGCTACATCAATTTATACGTGCACACATGGTCCTACTGTGAAAACAGCCCAAACCATCAAAAGCAATGTAAAGGCTGCTGTAACAGGCTGCTTTCCTGTCACTGACGCTTTTCAAAGACTATTATTTCTTAGTGTGGGCCATTGAGAACACTTTTTTAAAACTATGAATTGGTATTTGAAGACAAATACCTTACAAGGTTTCAGAAAACCTTTATATTGTGGGGGTTCTACTGTACATTATTTCAAGACATTTAGCTAATTACTGAGGAGCAAAGGTCTCTCTAGGCACTAATACAAAGGTGGCCATTCCCTTCTTCCTTCTAAAGAACATGCAGTGTCGTGTGGCCAGTGGAAGAGAAAGATAATTGTACTGTTTTTTTTTCATCTCATTTTAAAAACAAAGTGTGGTAAACACTGAAACAGTGTATAAACAAGGGGCATTTGCCTTGGGGTGAGGGTTGGTGTATCCGCAAAAGCTTAACTCATAGATGGTATGAATGTTAGGCCTTAAGGCTGGAAACAACCTGTCAATTTAACCCACAGGGGCCCCAAGCTAAGTAAGTCATGCCTGTGCCTTTACTTTCCTTCTCATCTGAGAACATTACAACTTCTTGTACTGAATGAAACACGGAGGAAAGAGCCAGAAGGATATGGACAGAGGTATGTTTCTAAAATGGCCAACACTGGGACTCTTTTCATAAGAAGCTTTTCCCTGATATAAAAAACACACACATACTCATTATAGAACTCATGGAAAGTATTAAAAAACATAAAGAATACAATAAAAAACCTCTGAAATCTCAGCATCTAGGGTAAACTGTCAATTTCTTGGTTTATTTCCTTCAAATTATACAGGGTGGGGCAAGAGCGGGTTTGCAGTTTTGAGCATGCAGAACAAAGCCTATTCTTATATTATTATTACTTATTGCATTATTTCCATACAAACAATTATAAACCCACTTTTGCCCACCCTGTATATGTAGACTTTGCATAGTAAATATTTTTTTAAATGTCTTTATTGATTTGAGAAAGGGAGAGGGGGATAGAAACATCAATGATGAGAGAGAATCATTGATTGACTGCCTCCTGCATGCCCCACACTGGGGATCAAGCCCATAACCCAGGCATGTGCCCTGACTAGGAATTGAACCTGACCTCCTGGTTCATGGGTATATGCTCAACCACACAGAACCACACTGGCCAGGCAATACATTTTTACATTCTTAAAATCCTGGTCATAGTTTATTTGGTTTTGTAGTTTGCTCCTTTTATTTCATATTATATGAGCTGGTGTTACACAGTGGTTACAACGTGGCCAGCACGCCAAAGGGACTCAGGTTCAATTCCCAGTCAAGGGCATATACCTGGGTTGCAGGTTAGATCCCCGGCCCCAGTCAGTGTGTGTGTATGAGGCAACCAATTGATGTGTCTCTCTCACATCAATTTTTTTCTCTCTCCCCCTCCCTTCAACTTTCTCTAAAAAACAACAATGGAAAAATATTCTCAGTTGAGGATTAACAAAAAAACAAACAAAAATGATAACATAAAAAAAAACGACTTTTCTTTATTTTTTTTTAATTTTATTTTTTTTCCATCACCATTTATCCTCCTATATTCTCTTCCACCTCCACCCTCCCCAGTCACCACACTGTTACCCATGTCCATGAATTCTTTCTCTTTTATTTTCTCCTTTGTTGCTCAATCCCTCCATGTCCCCTGCCTCCCCACACCCTACCGCCCAGAGCTGTCAGCCTGTTCTTTATCTATGAGTATGTCTCTATTTTGATTGTTAGTTCATGAAAACATGATTTTTAATAACTATATACTATTTACCTTTTGGGTATACCATAATTTCATTACTCCCACTAATAAACATATAGGTTGTTTGTATTTATTTATTTTTTACTATTATAAAGTTTTAGTGAACCATTTTTGACCTAAATCTTCACATGACTTTTTTTGCATTGGTAAACATTCTTACCTGACACAATCAGGACTATGATGAGTAGGTTAATTAATTTTTAAAATAATGTTTTAATTTTTCAGTTATAGTTGACATAGACTAGTCTCATGTGTACAACTTAGAGATTAGACATTTAAAATATATTTTTAATTGATTTCAAAGAGGAAGAGAGAGGGCAAGAGAGATAGAAACATCAATGATGAGAATCACTGATTGGCTGCCTCCTGCATGTCCCCCATTGGGGATCAAGCCCCACAACCCCAACATGGGCCCTGACAGAGAATTGAACTGTGACCTCCTGGTTCATAGGTTGATGCTCAACCATTGAGCTACGCCAACCGGGCTGATTAAACATTTATATAAACTTAAAAAGTGACCCCCGATAAGTCTCATACCTATCAGACACCATAGTTATTTTATTATTAACTATATTCCTTATGCTATACTTTACATCCCTGAAACTGTTTTTATAGTTGGCAACCCTAATCCTAACTCTAACCTTGCCCCCTTTTCACCCATCTCCCCAAACCTGTCTTCCATCTGGCAACCATCAAAATGTTCTCTGTATCCAAGAGTTTGTTTCTCTCTTGTTTGTTCACTCATTTTGTTTTTAAAGTTCCACTTATATGTGTGAAATCATATGGCATTTGTCTTTCTCTTTTAACATAATACTTTCTAGGTCCATCCATGTTACAGATGGAAAGATTTCATTCTTTTTTTATGGCTGAGTAAAATTCCATTACATATATGTACCATCTCTTTATCCATTCATCTATCGATGGATATTTAGTTTGCTTCCATATCTTGGATATTTAAGTGAGGTTGCAAGGGACATAGGGATGCATATGTCTTTTCAAATTGGTGTTTTGGGAAATACCCAGAAGTGGAATTAATTGCTGGGTTATTCTTTGTCTCTTGATATATAGCCTTTGTTTGTTTTAAAGTCTATTTTATCTGGTATAAGCATTGTTACCCCACATTTTTTGTTTTGTTTTCATTTTCATAAAATATGTTTTTCCATCCCTTTACTTCCAGTATAAGTATGTCTTTTGGCCTGAAATAAGTCTCTTGTAGGCAACATATAAATGGACCTTTTCTTTAAAAAATATTTTTAATGCTTTTTAGAAAGAGAGGAAAAGAGAGGGATAGAGAGAAACATCGTTGATTGGCTGCCTCCTGCACACCCCCTACTGGGGATTGAGCCCACAACTGGGCATGTGCCCTGACCAGGAATCGAACCAGCAACCTTTCAGTGGACAGGATGACGTCCCAAAAAACTGAGCCACACAGGCCAGGGTGCTATCTCCTCTTTTATGTTTCCTGTCTCTTTGTTAAAGTTCTCACTGAGTTCAATGAGCATCCTTATAATCAGTATTTTGAATTGCACATCTGGTGAATTGCTTGTCTCTCTCATTCAGTTCTTTTTCTGGAGGTTTGTCCTGTTTTTTCACTTGAAACATGTTTCTTTGTCTCTTCATTTGACAGCCTCCCTGTATTTGTTTCCCTTTTGGGTGAGCTGCTATATCTCCTGGTCTTAGTAGCAGGTGCCACATGGGGTCCAGTGGTGCAGTCTCCTTAAGTCACCTGAGCTGGGTACTCCAGGTATATCCTTGTGTGCCCTCCTATTGTAGTTGAGCCTTGATCACTGTTGGCCCATCAAGGAAGGATTGACCCTCAGGCTGACTGGCTGTGAGGACTGACCCTGACTATAGCAGAGGAGCTGCTGTGCAGGGGCTAACCCCACAGAGCAGCATTCGCTTTAGCAGGGCTCTGATGCTTGCTGAGTCAGCCCTTTGCTATGTCATTGTGGAGATGGTTGGGTTGTGCTCTGGTGTGGTATAAAGCTGGCCACTGGGTGTGCTGATTCTGGGACCTCTTGGGAGGTACAGGTCAAGGTCAGCCACTGCCTATGCCCTGGGGCACTTGTATGCGCTCCAGAGTTATCTGCAGATGGCTGCTACTTGTGCTGGGCTTGGAGGTGCCTGGGAGAGGCTAAGCTGTGAACGAAGGCCAGCTGCACTAGTGCCAGACTTGGGTCTGCTTAGCAAGGAATACGGGGCACACAGAGGCCAGATACTGCTGTATGGGGTTTGTGAACCTTTGACAGGTTTTGGGAAAGCCTGCTAGTATGGAAAAACTACTGGAACCAGCTTGGGTGGGCCTGAATGTTGAGTGGGGTGGGGTCTCAGAGAATCACCAGGGCAGGGCAAACAGTATTAGGTATTTTGAGACTCAAGATATAGTGCCCCACTGTGCCTGCAGGGGGACTCTGCAAAGGAATAATGACTTCTGCCAGTACTTCTGTCTAGCAGAAAGCTGCCCCCCAGCTCTAGCCCTTGCCTCAAGGCCAGACGATTCAGTTCCTCCCTGTATGTCCCTGGCACCTTTTGCATTGCTGCCTCAATTCTGGAGCTCAGAGCAAGTGAGCCCAAGTAAGCCTGTGCACTGGTCTCCAGCAGCTTTTTGTCTCCCTCAGTCACAATCCTCGCTAGTTTTCACAGCCGGAAGTCACTGGGACTTCTCTCCCCAGCACTGAAACCCAGGGCGGAGACTCCTTGCTCCTCAGAGGGGACAACCTCCCCAGCTGAGAGTTCCCTCCTGATTTTTAACCGCCACATGTGGGTGTGGGCCAAGCTTGTTCAGTGTCTCCACCTCTCCTAGTCTCAACGTGGCTTCATTCTTTATATTCTCAGCTGTAAGATTTCTATTCAGCCAGGTTTCAGGTGGTTCTCAATGATGGTTGCTCTGTAGTTTTGTTGTAATTTTGATGTGGTTGAATGAGAAAGCGAGCATAGCATTTACCTATGATGTCATCTTCACATCTGTATTATTATTTTTTTAAAATATATTTTTATTGATTTCAGGGAGGAAGGGAGAGGGAGAGAGAGATAGAAACATCAATGATGAGAGAGAATCATTGATCGGCCACCTCCTGCACACCCCCTAATGGGGATCAAGCCCACAACCAGGCATGTACCCTTGACTGGAATCGAACCCAGGACCCTTTGGTCCGCAGGCCGATGCTCTATATACTAAGCCAAACCGGCTAGGGCTGTATTATTAATTAAATAAATTATTAGTGTATTATGCCACAAACACTTCTGTTTCCATTTAGTTGCAGAAAAAGTCATCAGAAGAAAGAAACACTAGCCGGCAGAGAAGGTTGGACCCACTCGATTCACAATCTCACTTTAGTGAGAAGGTAAGGTGTGATGCTCAAAAAGTCTGCTGATAGTCCTGGATCCTATTTCTTCTGCAAAGTGTTCCCTACATAGGAGACACAGCACTCTTACTCCATGGCTTCTAGGAAAGAAAATGCAAACTCACTAACCTGAGTCAGTATTAAAGCCTGTGTCTTGACATTCTTTGGGTACTGCCTGGTCTGCTTTTATATGTTCCACTTGATGCTTTTAAAGTGACAGTGAGCTTTTATACTCTCATGGATGATGTCAGGTATCTATCTAAAGACTTATAACTTGACCAGAAGTCAAAAGGGTAGGTTGATTTAAGACGTTGCTTTAAATAAGGAGTCATAAAAAAAGAACATACACATACCTCAAACATTTTTTAACTTAAAACATATTAAAGTACATTAATGCACTAACCTTGTGTTAGAAGGCCAAGGCCTTGTCTCTGAGTGTGGCTCCAATGATAAGAGTTCCACATCCTCTTTACTAGATAAATTACACATGGTATTCCATTTGTAATTTACAATGTGGGTTTCTTTGAAGTGGAATAAGAACCAGAAGACACATCAGCAATCAGTATGCAGAATCCTTCTGATAAAAAACATATTCTCAATGGCCTCTATTTCGCTTTTTACCTACCCCTAATTCAATAGCCATTTTTAAAAAATGCTGTTAGCAATTCACCTTACCAAAAGTCTTTCCAAACATGTTCAACTTAGTTTTCATAGAATTCATTTTTTATACTAATAAAAAGGGTCCTGGGTTCGATTCAATGTTTTACATGCTATCTAATAAAATTATATAATTACATAAAGTACAATAGATATAAACAGGTTTCAACTGATTCTTATCAACAATCTGAGAAAGAAAAACCAGCCCTGAATATCTGGAAACTGCTTGACACAGCTAGGCCTCAGTGATGTCTGAAGCTGGCTTGGGGCACACAACAAGGCCATGTTATTCTCCTGCTGGACATAAACAATCTCACAAAATATCAACATCAGACAAGGTCACTCTGAGACCATGAGAAAGTGAGACAAAACAAGAAACACTTCAAAATTTTGTCTGAATATGGACAAAAACAAGGTCACTGTGCAACCTACAGAATACCAAACATCCCCCTCTTCTGGCTAACATGTGACTGCTACTCCCTGGCAGGTGTAGCTTTCATCTCCCGCTTGTCAGCCCTCCCAGATAAGATTTATTAAGATAAGCAAAGAATTGCCCCACAGTCTAATAATATCCAATCCAAAGTAAAGCCCCTCTTCCTCAAACCCTTCCCCAAATTACCTAATACAAACCCAAATCATGTAAGTCCTATGAATACTCTTACTGAGACACCCCCAGCGTGTGCACGCTCCCTTCCTACAATGCATGATGAGCTCAGCTTGTTCAACTACAGCTGTGTTCCTAGTGGTCTGTTGCTGGAGGCACTGACCAGGCCGGTCAACTGGCTAAAGCAGAGTGTGGGACCACAGAACAGAAAACCAACAGTGTCACTTAGGATATTTACCAACAAATGAAGAGCATCAGTTAATCTGGAGCTTGTTAAGCAAGCTTCTACCACATTCCCTTAAGTTCATTTCCTAGAAGTAGAATTACTGGGCCAAAGCAGAACTTTTTAAGATTCTTTATCTTGGGGCTTCCAGTCAAGATGATGGAATAGGGAAATGTATGCAGTACTTGAATCCACCCACAACCACATCAAAATTATAACTAAACTACAGAACCACCATCATTCAGAACTACCTGAAATCTAGCTGAATAGAAGTTCTACAACTAAGGATATATAAAGGAAGTCACATCAAGACTGTTAGGAGGGGTGGAGACACTGAATGAGCTGATCCCGCACCCACATGTGGTGGATAAAAATTAGAAGGGAAACCTTGTCTGCTGAGGTCCCCACTGAGGAGCAAGGAGTCCCAGCCCCACACCAGGCTCTCCAGCCCAAGGTTACAGTGCGGGAAGAGAAGTCCCTATGACTTCTGACTGTGAAAACCAGTGGAAATTGTGGCTGAGGTACAATTAGGCTCAGGCACCAGAGTCCCGATGAAGTGAATCCTGGTCCGTGGTGTTGCCCCCGCACCGTGGGGTGGCCACTTCATGGTGGTGAAGGCCAGTCCTTGAAGTGATCAGCCTGGGGCTAAATCCCTCTTATTGATATGCCAATAGCAATTAAGGCTCAACTATAACAGGAGGGTGCACACAGTCCACATGAGGGGGAGGCACACCTAGAACACCCAGCTTAGGTGACCAGTGAGGCTCTACAGGACTCCTACTACATAAGGCTAGTCTACCAAGACCAAAAGACATAGCAGCTCTAGCTAATACACAGAAACAGACAGAGGCAGCCAAAATGAGGGGAAAAAAGAAAGATGTCCCAAATGAAAGAGCAGAACAAAACTCCAGGAAAATGGAGACAAGCAATCTACCAGATGCAGAATTCAAAACATTAGTTATAAGGATGCTCAATGAACTCAGTGAAAACTTTAACAAAGAGGTAGGAAACATAAAAAAAAAGTAGATTTAAAAAAAGGGGGGAAGGACCATGTCTTTTTTTCACCTAGTTAATGTCCTCAAGTTTCAGAATTTCCGTTTTTAAAGGATGAATAATATTCCATTGCATGTATAAGACATTTTGTTTATCCACTACCTGTAGGTAAACACTTGTGTTGCTTCCACTTTTTGGTTATAATGAATAATGCTGCTATGAATGTGAGTGTATAAATACCTCTTTGAGACATTTCAGTTATTTTGGGTACATATCCAGAAGCGAAATTGCTGGGGTATATGGTAGTTCTGTTTTTAATTTTTTGAGGAACATTTTCCTTAGTGACTGCACCAGTTTACAGTGCACAAGGATTTCAATTTCTCCACAACCTTGTCAACATTTTTAAAAACATATTTTTATTGATTTCAAAGAGGAAGGGAGAGGGGAAAGATAGAAACATCAATGATGAGAGAGAATCATTGAGTAGCTGCCTCCTGCACGCTCCCCACTGGGGATCGAGCCCGCAACCTGTGCATGTGCCCTTGACCAGAATCGAACCTCAGTCTTCAGGTTGATGCTCTATCCACTGAGCCAAACCGGCTAGGCTGTTTTGTTTTTTACAGTAGCCATCCTGATTGATGTGAGGTGATTATCTCATTGTGGTTTTAATTTTCATTTCCCTAATGATTAGTTGATGTTGAGCATCTTTTCATATTCTTATAGGTCATTTATATATCTTTGTTGGAGAAAGACCTAAGTCCATTCCCTTTTATAATCAGGTTATTTGGGGTGTTTTGGTTGTTGAATTATAGGTCTTTATGTACTGTGGATATTAACCCCTTATTTGCATGTATTTTCTCCCATCCTATACGTTGTCTTATAACTCTGTTACTGTATCCTTGGATGCACAGAAGTTTTAAATTTTGATGTAGTATAATGTATGTATTTTTTACTTTTGTTGCCTGTGCTACTTCTGGTGTCACAGCTGGAAATCACTGCGAAATCCAATATCATGAAACTTTTCCTCTAAGGTCTCTTCTAAGGAAACATAGTTTTAGGTCTTATAATATTTAGATCTTTGACCAATTTTGAGTTAATTTTTGTATATAGTATAAAGTTAGGGTCCAACTTCATTTTTTTGCATGTGAATATCCAGTTTGGGAAAACATCGTTTGTTGAAAAAAAAATTGTCCTTTTCCCATTCAATGGTCTTTGCATCCTTGATTAAAATGATTGATTATATATTTTTTAAATGTATGTTTGCATTTGAAATATAAGCATACTTAACACTACAGGATGAAATCTGTACAGTATTATACAGAAAAAATACTTTTTTATATGGGAGTAGAAAATGAGAAGAAAGCAAATATTTTAATTGTAAAAAGTTTTCCTTTAAAATATAAAAGTTAGCCCTAGCCAGCTTGGCTCAGTGGATAGAGCGTTGGCCTGCAGACTGAAGGGTCGCAGGTTTGATTCCAGTCAAGGGCATATGCCTGGTTTGTGGGCTCGATCCCCAGTGGGGGGCATGCAGGAGGCAGCCGGTCAGTGGTTCTCTGTCATCATTGATGTTTCTATCTCTCTCTCCCTTCCTCTCTGAAATCAATAAAAGTATATTTTAAAAAATAAAATATAAAAGTTAATAAATATTTAAATATGAGGCTAATCACTAAAGAGTTTCAGATAATTAAAAATACATCTGATTCACACTTGCTGTACTTTCTTTGAAGTATTTCCAGGACGTATTACCAACTTCTGATCTGCAATATTTTGCAAGTATAGAGTGTAGGGCTAAAGTAGGTTTACAATTGTGAGCACACAAATACAAAGTTTATTCTTGTATTATTATTTATTAATTATTGTATTATTTTCCATATGAATAACTGTAAACCTACTTTTGCCCCACCCTGTATTTTGCATGTTTTTATGAATAAGCTCTTACAATTCTATTTTAAATACTGAAGTCACAATAAAATTAACAACTTAGCATGACTTTCCATTCAACTATTTACTTCTATTTATTTCCTTGGGAGAGTAAGTACAATATAAGGGATCAAGAGAGTTCAATATACAATATGTAAGCTATAGTCCATTTATATCATTTGTCTTCATTTTGATGAAGTAGCTACTGCTATAGCATATAAATATAACATTATCTAACCAATGTTTCTTGTTTTATAAAGGTAACTGAACACAATATGTTACAGAAGTTTTACCAAAGTATATTGCTCTATTATCATATTTCTAATTATCACTTTAAGGGAGCTTCTAAAGGCTCTGTCATTGGGTTGGTTTTAGTCATTAACAGTTTTTATTCCTGTATCCTTTTTAAAAAAATATATATTTTATTGATTTTTTACAGAGAGGAAGGGAGAGGGATAGAGAGTTAGAAACATCCATGAGAGAGAAACATCCATGAGAGAGAAACATCCATCAGCTGCCTCCTGCACACCCCCTACTGGGGATGTGCCCGCAACAAAGGTACATGCCCTTGACCGGAATCGAACCTGGGACTCTTCAGTCCACAGGCCGACACTCTAGCCATTGAGCCAAACTGGTCAGGGATATCCCTGTATTCTTTGCAGAAAGTACAAAAATGGAATCGTAGGCTCAGGATTAATCTTAAAGCTCTTCTACATTTTATAGGATCAGGAAAGAAGGCTATGTGGCTTATTCATGTTAACGTACCAGAATGAAGAGCGAAGAGAGGAACCCTGGCTGCCCAACACCCAGCTGGATGCTCTCCCCATGAGACGACGCTGTCTCTAAATAGTTATGCTGCAGGAACCATGTCACTGAAAGTTATCTCTCTTCTCTCTGCTCAAAATTATAGGAAACGTAAAAGGCTTCTTCATCATAGAGTGATTTACTGAGAATATCTGGGTAGAGAAGATGGCAGTATAAATTCTCAGCAAGTCTTAAGTCTACTTGCAAAGATAACTGCCAAGAGAAGACTTACCTTAAATCTATCAATTTCTTCCACTCAGAAATTCAAAGGTTAGAGTAAGAATTGGGGCAGTGGGAACAAACAGGTCTGCCATGGCCATTTACTCTGAGATCATCTAAATTAAACAATGTCAGAGCCATACCAATGGCCCTTAAGCTTCACATCCCTAAATCAACAAAATGAAAAGAATTCTAATTTAACTGCCATTATTATCTGCTACATCAAGAAAAATAATCTTAATTGCTATGTTTTTTGAAAAGAAACATGTTGTTACTGATTTTAGAGAGAGAGGAAGGGAAAGGGAGAGAAAAACTGACGTGAGAAGAAAGAAACTCTGATTGGCTGCCTCCTGGGGACCAAACTGGTAACCTGGGCATGTGCCCAAAATGGGAATCGAACCGGCGCTCTTTCAGTGCATGGGACAATGCTCAACCACTGAGCAACACCAGCCAGGTGTTGCTATCTTATTAAAATACCAGATTACTCTCACGTGAGCCATTAAGTCATGAAGGACCCAAAGGAGAAGTGGGCAGTGGCACAGCCAGCACTAGAGCCTGGAAAGAGAACAGATGGACAGAAAGCAGAAGGCACCATGACAAACGAATACCTATAAGTACTGGGAAGACAGAGTGGCAGAAAGGCAGGAAGAGTTTAACTTCTTAGCTCCTCACTTGTTGCTTCCTTTCCCAAATCACTACTTAGTTAACAATTCAACTAAGTTGTAGAGGCAGAAAAAGAAAGAAATTATAGTAGACACTGAGTTGGGGAAAACAGTGGTTATTAACCTTTTTTATTCTCAGGACCCCTTGACATCTTAAAAATGGAGGACCCCCAAAATTTACTTATATATCTATAGATAGTCACAATATTAAAAATAAAAATAATTACATACAATTCATTTAAAAATAACCTCATTATGTTAATATACTTATTTTTGTGAAAATATTATATTTTCGAAAACAAAAAAAAAGTTAGTAAGGACAGTGACATTGTTTTGTGATTTTACAAATGTAAAATATGTCTGACTTCAACTGGGCACAGCTGGTGTGGCTCAGTGATTGAGCATCGACCTATGAACCAACCAGGAAGTCACAGTTCAATTCCTGGTCAGGGCACATGCCCAGGTTGCAGGTTTGATCCCCAGTGTGGGGTGTGCAGGACAGCTGATCAATGATTCTCTCTCATCACTGATGTTTCTATCTCTCTGTCTCCCTCTACCTTCCTCTCTCTGAAATCAATAAGAACACATTTTTTTAAAAAAGCATTCTTGGGTGAGGATTAAAAAAAATCTTTAACTTCTGGCAAAGATAGGACCCACTAGCTCCTATATAACATAAACAGCAAAAAATCTAAGCAAAACGAAACTCAAAAATACCCTCTTACCTTTGCCAAGATTAAAGACAAATGGTTCATTTCTATCATGACTGGAATCAAACTTCTTTCCATTTGACAATTTTCCATTGTAATGGACATAAACTTTATCTCCGATCATCGGTGTTTCCTCACTATTCCCCACTCTTTTGACAATCTAAAAAAGACAAACATCAAGAAAAAGGAGGTGAACTTTTAACATCTAAACAGAGAATGAAAAAATTACAGACCATTTCATATCACCCAGGCAGATTTGAAAATAATTACCTGTCTTTTCTAAATGTTCCCCTCCTAGTTCTCTTAAAAACCTGTACTATTAGAAAATGTCCTATTCTACTCTTAATCTTTAATACTACATTTAATCTTAATAATAACATTGTTTCCTCAAAATAACTTACCAACAGATCCTGCTTCATTGGTTTAATGCTCCCCATGCTTTGACACTAAAATCTCTCAAAACACAAAGCTAGTCCATATACAAACTGAATTAGATAAAAAAAAGATTAGTAGACTTTCAAAAACATTCAAAAAGAAGTCTAAAGCAACGTTCCAAAGGTGAGGTTTTATTTATTCCCTTTGTTAAAAAGATTAGCTTCTGACTAGATTCTACTAGTTTGATTTAATTTTAAAAAGCCCTATTTCCTGGTGTAACAGGTTACCCTTCCTATTATTTGAATATTCAATGTATAAAAACACAGTGTGACTGCAGTTTGATATAATACTGAATAATTTATTTTCTAGTAAAGGAAATGCCAAAAAAACCACCTCCAAGCAACAAAATATTTAGCTATTGTAAAATCCAGTTTATTTATTTTGTTTTTGGCAGAGCAAGCCACTAATGCAATTGGTCAGTCCTGGGAAAAGAAAATCAAATCCAGGCATGTTGTGGTGTAATTTATTCTGTCAATCACCTATGCTAATGTAATCATTTTATTAGATAACAGAGGATGATAGCTAATGTCCCAAGAACATCTTTTTTGGGGAAGGGTCTAAATTTTTATCTAAAGAATTCAATTTTTACCCTAGCCGGTTTGGCTCATTGGATAGAGCATCAGCCCAAGGACTAAAGGGTTCCAGGTTTGATTCTGGTCAAGGGCACAAACCTTGGTTGCAGGTTCCCCGCAGTGATCAGGGTGCATGCAGGAGGCAACCAATTGATGTGTCTCTCTCACATCAATGTTTCTCTCTCCCCCCGCCTTTCCTTTCACTCTCTCTAAAAATCAATGGAAAAAATATCCTCAGGTGAGGATTACAAAAAGAAAAAAGAGCATGGAGGTTCCTTAAAAAATTAAAAATAGAACTACCAGCAATCCCACTTTTGTATATAAACTCAAAGTAAACAAAATCACTATCTCGGAAGACATCTGCACTCCCATGTTCATTGTAGCATTATTCTCAACAGCCAAGCCTTGAAGTGTCCATGGCTAAATAGATAAAGAAGATATGATACACACACGCGCACACATACAGAGGAATATTATTCAGCCATGAGAGAGAAGGAAATCATACCATTGTGACAATATGGATGTATTTTGAGGGCATTATGCTAAATGAAGTAAGCCAGAAAAAGAAAAACACAGTCATAGCCCTAACAGGTTGAATTTTAAAAAGTTGAACTCACAGAAACAGCAAGTAAAATGGTGGTTGCCAAGGGCTAAAGGGTGGGGGATATGGTGAGATGTAAGTCAAAGCATATAAACTTTCAGATATAAGATGGGTAAATTCTGCTCTAACCGGTTTGGCTCAGTGGATAGAGCGTCAGCCTGCGGACTCAAGGGTCCCAGGTTCGATTCTGGTCAAGGGCATGTACCTTGGTTGCGGGCACATACCCAGTGGGGGGTGTGCAAGAGGCAGCTGATCAATGTTTCTCTCTCATCAATGCTTCTAACTCTCTATCCCTCTCCCTTCCTCTCTGTAAAAAATCAATAAAATATATTTTTTTTAAAAAAGATGGGTAAATTCTGAGGATCTAATGTACTGCATGCTGACCATAACTGACAACACTGTATTACATTCCTGAAAGTTGTTATTAGAACTTAAACGTTCTCACCACAAAAAAGAAATGGTAATTATATGAAGTGATGGACGTTTAACTAACCCTACTGTGATGATCATTTTGAAACATATAAATATATCAAATCATCACATTCTACACCATAAACTTACATAATGTTATAGGTTAATTATATCAACAAAATTGGGGAAAATAATTATAATTTTAAATAGTAAATTAAGAGCTACTTAAAAAAATCATTACTGCCCTTCAAGGACTTCATTTTGCTGTGGAAACCTGAGTGATTGCACAGTATCGCTTGCTGGTGTGCGCAGCTATCTGACTCCCTGGTAGCCATTCATCCCATCTGCCTAATTACTTGTTCATGTCCTGGAAATGCAGATTCAAAACTGGTGCAGGGGAAAATGTTAAAAAAAAAAATTAACCTAAGAGAAATCACTTTATATTCTAGAAGTGCTCATGTTCAAGAACTGCATGCAGTATGTGAGCCTGAGTCCCACCCAGAGGGAATCGGCATTTCCAGGACCGTGAACCAGTAATTGAGCAGATGGGATGAACAGCTACCAGGAAGTCAGATACTACGGAATCACTTCAAGTTTCCACAGCAAGATGATCTTGTACCAAAATCTGGAGTTGCCCTAAAACAGGGATGGGCAAACTTTTTGACTCGAGGGCCACAATGGGTTCTTAAACTGGACTGGAGGGCCGGAACAAAAGCATGGATGGAGTGTTTGTGTGAACTAATATAAATTCAAAGTAAACATCATTATATAAAAGGGTACGGTCTTTTTTTTTTTTTTAGTTTTATTCATTTCAAATGGGCTGGATCTGGCCCGCGGGCCGTAGTTTGCCCACGGCTGCCCTAAAGCAACTAGTCTCAATTCATTTAAAAAGACGTAAGGTCCACAATATCATTTTATCTTCTTTGGCTAGTTACTGACTTCAGAGCTGCCTTGGTCTTAAAATATATATATATCCTATATAATAAAAGCCTAATATGCAAATCAACTGAACATGGTAGCTATGACATGCACTGACCACCTGGGGGAAGACGCTCAACACAGGAGCTACCCCCAGCCCACAGGCCCCAGGACAGCCAAGGTGGGTACTAGCAGAGGGCCCCCCTGGATCGCGGCAGCGGGGGGATGGGGCCAGCCAGTGGGCTGGCGGCGCCAGGCTGGCCAAGGTGGGTACCAGCGGAGCACCCTGATCGCCAGCCAGGTCTAGGGACCCTACCTGTGCACGAATTTCGTGCACCAGGCCTCTAGTGTGTGTATATGTATGTTTGTATATATATCTTAATAAGAGAGATTACCATGAGCATGGCACTGTACTAAATGCTTTATGTAATCCTGCTAACCCTATAAGCTAGGCAGTATTATTATTCCCCACAGATATGTTAACTAAACTGCCCTAGGTCACACAGTTAGTAGACCTATTCAATCTTAACAAAAGCCTGAGGCTCCAGACAGTAATAAATGATATGACTGACTTAAAAAATTTACACTCTCTAAATGTTTCTTATTAGCCTTACAAAACTAAAAATCTTATTAGTTTACTAGAGGCCCAGTGCACGGATTTGTGCACCAGTGGGGTCCCTTGGCCTGGCCTGCAGGGATCGGGCTGAAACTGGCTCTCCAACATCTCCCAAGGGGTCCTGGATTGTGAGAGGGCGCAGGCCAGGCTGAGGGACCCTACTGGTTGTGCACCAAGCCTCTAGTATGCACATAAGATCTTTGGTTAATCTCTTCGCACCCTCCCCCCTCCTCCGTTCCCTCTGAGATTCATCAGTCTATTCCATGTTTCCATGCCTGTGGTTTCCACTCCTGCATTGAGTGTCTGCCCTCTGGTGGTCAGTGCGCATCACAGCTACTGGTCGAATAGTCGGCCGGTTGCTTAGGCTTTTATATATATACTAGAGGCCCGGTGCACAAAAATTTGTGCACTGGGGGGGAGGTCCCCCAGCCCGGCCTGTGCCCTCTCGCAGTCTGGGACCCCTCAGGAGATAATGACCTGCTGGCTTAGGCCTGCTTCCGGGTGGCAGAGGGCACGCCCAATCCCTAGGTGCAGCCCCTGGTCAGGCTCAGAGCAGGGCCGATTGGGGAGTTGGGGCGCCGCCCCGTCATGCAGAGAGCAGGGCGGATCGGGAGGTTGCAATGCCACCCTCAGTCACGCTCAGGGTAGGGCCGATTGGGGAGTTGGGGCACCGCCCCGTCATACTCAAGGCAGGGTCGATGGGGAGGTTGCGGCGCCACCCCCTGTCATGCACAGAGCAGGGCCAATCAGGGGGTTGGGGCGCTGCCCCCTGTCACTCACAGAGCAGGGCCCATCAGGGGGGTTGGGGCTCCGTACCGTCACACACAGAGCAGGGTCGATCAGGGGGTTGGGGAGCTCCCCCCTGTCACGCACAGAGCAGGGCCGATCAGGGAGTTGAGGAGCTCCCCCGTCACTCACAGAGTAGGGCCGATAGGGGAGTTGGGGCACCGCCCCGTCACACACACAGCAGGGCGGATCAGGGGGTTGGGGCGCTGCACCCTGTCACACTCAGGGCAGGGCCAATGGGGAGGTTATGGCTCTACCCCGTCACACACAGAGCATGGCCCGTGGGGGGGGGGTTGGGGCGCCGCACCCTGTCACACACAGAGCACCAGGGCGATCAGGGGGTTGGGGAGCTCCCCCCTATCAGGCACAGAGCAGGGCTGATCAGGGGGTTGGGGCGCCTTCCCATGTCACCAACAGAGCAGGGCGGATAGGGAGGTTGTGGGCCTGCCCCCTGTCACACACAGAGCTGCAGGGCGATCAGGGGGTTTGGGCGCTGCCCTGTCACGCTGATCCGGTGCCAGGAGGCCTCGCGGTTCCGCTGATCCCGGTGCCAGGAGGCATATTACCCTTTTACTATATAGGATAGAGGCCTGGGGGCCGGCTGGTTTGCCCTGAAGGGTGCCCTGGATCAGGGTGGGGGTCCCCACTGGGGTGCCTGGCCAGCCTGGATGAGGTGATGATGGCTGTTTGCAGCTGGTCACACACCCTTCAGGGTGGGGGTCCCCACTGGAGTGCCTGGCCAGTCTGGGTGAGGAGCTGAGGGCTGCTTTCAGGCTGGCAATTGACTGAAGCTACCAACCCCTCCTTTTTTTCTTTCTTTTTTTTTTTTTTTTATTCTGGGCCAGCTTTAGCTCTGGCTCTAGCTCTGAGGCTTCCGCTGCTGAGCGTTCTATAATCGAAACAATGTATAACTTCAGCTCTGAGATCCCGGCAGGCTGAAAGCTGGTTTCTGGTGTTCTGTTTAGCTTCTATATTTGTTACATAGTTGCTTAGAGTTGTAGCTCAGAGGCCGGCAAGTCAGGCGGGGAACGTTGGAGTCTGCAGTCCCTGGAGCAAGCAAGCCTCATGTTCGCTTCCAGCTGCCTGGCTGCCAGCCACCATCTTGGCTGACAGTTAATTTGCATAAGGATATGCTGATTAGCCAATGGGAAGGGTAGCGGTCATACGCTAATTACCATGTTTCTCTTTTATTAGTGTAGACTAGGGGCCCGGTGCACGAAATTTGTGCACTGGGGGGGGGGGGGGTGCCCTCAGCCCAGGCTGCCCCCTCTCACATACTGGGAGCCCTCAGGGGATGTCCTAGTGACGGCTTAGGCCCGCTCCCTGCTCCCCTTGGGGATAGGGTCTAAGCCGTAGTCTGGCCTCCCTTTGTGGGAGGGGACTGGGCTGATCAGGGGAAGGCACCAGCCCCATCACCCCGCTGCTGCAGCCACTGCCAGTCACTGCAGCCAGCAAGGGTTTTTCATCAACACGGACTCCAGTCCCTTCACCATGAAAAAATGACAACTTTCTTTAGGCATTTTCAAGAAGTGTCTTTCATATAAAAAAAATTTCTTTATTATTTTTTTTAATCCTCACCTGAGGATATGTTTCCATTGATTTTTAGAGAATGTGGAAGAGAAAGGGAAAGACAGAGAGAAACATCAAAGTGAAAGGAACACTTTGATTGGTTGCCTCCTGCGTGAGCCCTGACCTGGGCCCCGGCCAGGGAGAAGCCTGCAACCTAGGTACATGCCCTTGGTCAGAATTGAACTCAGGCCCTCCCATCGGCAGGCCAAGGCATTATCCACTGAGCCAAACCGGCTAGGGCAGGATATGACATTTCTTAGCCCTCCAGCAGCGGACCTTCGTTTTTTTTTGCCAGGAGTGTGGTGAAAAACCCTAGATCACCTTTTTGGATTCCTATTACCCAAGTTACTAAGAATATTACCAGTGGCATACAGGGAGCTTAACCAATGAATGGTCAGAAAAGGTGTTTCCTCTGTAGTTCACACCAATCACCGGTTTGCACTTGAAAATAAACAAGAAGTTTTATTGACTGGGAACATTGCTTTACTCCTTACTCACACTATTAATTTAATAAATAGATAGTATAGAAACTATGAATTAAACTCGAGTTCAGTTTACAAAACCGAACACGTATCGCCGTTCCACTTCTTGTTATGAAGGAATAGGCCGGTCAGTAGGGGGGGTACATTAAAAAAAATTAATAAAAGTCGGGTCGGGGAGTAACAAAATAATATTAAAAAATTCGAATTTGCTCACACCACACAAGACATG